TGAGAAAATACCATTTTGAAAGAGATAATAGGTTTAGGACCAACATTAAACCTTGTATTTTTTCAAGAAGGCAGGTAGAAAACAGAAGCACTTTAAGAAGACATGGAGATGAATTGGAGGAGTCAGCAACACATTTCAGGAGAATGTGTTTTGACACTCATAAGACCAGATTTCCAAAGTGCTATTGTTTTGAGAATTTTGATCCTGTCTCCAGTCAGCTAAGTCTCCTTTGGTGTCAGGAGACAAAGACCCTTACTGCTGGATGCATATGCTTCTTGTGAAAATTAAGTCCATGTGTTAGACAAAATGCAAGTCAGCTTGCTGGAACGTGTTGAAGTCCACTTTCAAGTCAGAGAAGCCAAGGGAATCATCACAACATGGATGCAAGGGCTGGAAGGAAAGCAGATCTCAGAAAAACTGTTCTGAAGATTAAGGAATGTGCAAAACTTCTTAAAAGGTAAAAATAAAATAGACTCACTCAGCAGCACTAAACCTTCTTGCAAAAGTCTACTGCTGACATTCTCCAGTTTCAAATAATGTTTATGCTTTGAAATTTCTTTTTCTAAGAAAAGAAAGAAGGCTTTCTCAGTTTAACAGTAAAATAAAGTATATTTGATTGATTCAAAAGAGATATTTTAAAAAAATATTCCTGCCTTGTTCACAACCTCAAATTTATAAAATTTGGTAATGATTATGCCTGTGCAAAAAAACTACTGTATTTTTCAGAGAGTTTCTGGAGGAGCAAATCACATTTGCAACATATTTTCAATTTATTTTCTGTTAAAATAATGTTGCCCAAGAAAGTGAAGACATTTAATAACTTTTTATTTTATTATTTAGGTTATAGAAATTTAATATCAATTTTAACTTTATTATGTAACTGACAGGTCTGTGAATTCCAAATATCCCTATTCTGTGTTTGAAGGCACAAGACTGCCCATAGTATTAAAGGCTTTTAAAAATCTAATAATTAGTCTTTATTTTCTTATCTGCATTGTTCTAATTTTTAAATTAAAATTTAGTTCTATTTTTATAGCTGCTAAAAGTAATTAAGAAGAATTTCAACATAAAATATTGCTCACTCTCCAAAGTCAAGAGGAAAGTAGGATTTACTTGAAACTATAAAAATTTGATAAATAACTCTGCTAATTTGCAGGTGATGAGTGTCTTTGTGGAAATCAACTTCTTGTCTCAGGCAGCCCCGAGCTGAAATCTAAGAGATGTCATCACAAATTGTTCTTTCTGGCTGTATAGGAAGTTCTTCTCTCATCGCATCTAGACCTGTACCAAGAGCCAGACTGCCACTCACTGATAGCACTCAGATCCTAGAGGAAACGAGGGAACATTTTTCTTCACAGAAAACTTAAAATGGGAAAATGTGAAGCATCACCTTTTGGGCACTGTAGTAAACGTCAGAGAAGATACAGATCGAACTAGGTGTAAATGAGAAAACAGATTTCAGACTGCTTATGGAGCTCTTGAAGCATTAAATGGGTTCAGGTTTGGATTCTTTTGACATGGGATATGAAGCTGTGGCCTTTTGCAAAGTGCATGTACAGGTCATTAATAACAAATATAAATTATTAATTTCTCATAATTTTCTTCCTGTGTTCCCAAAATACAGGAATATTCAGGAATGGTATTTATATGGTCATAAAATACAACAAAATACATAATACTTTTCCTTATAAGGGGCTCCAATAATCCTCTGCTGGACAGGAGGAAGACTATTGGTCTCCTTGTCATCCTGTGATGTGAAATTCAGATGATGATGTGTCTTCTGCAATTTAAAAACCACAAAATGTCACACTCTCATACTCTCTCTCTTTTTCATATCTTTTAAAAAGGACAATAATTTTGCTCACCACCTGAAATTTTTACAGTTTTTTCTTTCATTTGATGCTTGGCTGCAGCTGGAACACACATTTCCACTAGACTCTCCATGCATCATGTAACACCACAGCAGGGAGTACCTTCAGACATTTCTATGTATACTGGCACCTTAGTTTAAAGGTTATAATTTCTTTTTTCTATGGCAGTCTTTAGACATTTGTTTTTGTTGTCACTCATAATTATTGCCATCAGGCAGCACAGTGTCTTTGCTATGATGTATAGATGGAATTTGATCTATGTATTAACCCCTGAACAAATGAAGAATGCATAGATCAAATGCTAAAATCCCAGCAAACAATACTAGCTTATTTTGTGAAAGGTGTTATTATTTTAGGATTGTTTAGTGTTTACCATACTGTGTTACTGTGTTTACTATAACACTAGTGATTTGGTTTGTAAGTACTAATTTCTTTTTCTCTACAACAGGTACCAAAAAGTAAATAAATTGCTGTTTAACTTTTTAACAGATGTGAAGAAAACCTAACAAACATTCATGGAAATAGGAAACACAGTATTAACTTCAAGTAATTAGTAATAGTAATTAAAGAGTAATTTTTGGATAAGAGTATAAATTTGTGTAATAAAATTTTGTATTTTGAAGTGGAATGCTTAATATTCTGAATATTTACATTTAAGATATTGAATTATCAGAATGTGATTAATCAGATATTGTAGCAAGAAGAATGGAAGTGCCAAATTCAACCTCAATGTTTTCAGAAGACAGAATGCTCAAAACAGACAACAAAAAATTCTCAAAGTATTATAGGATTCTCAAAATTCTCAGCATGTCTGATCTCTGAATGAACATTTTGTTTTCTTGTCAGTGATTCAGAATATCCACGGCTACTTTCCGGTGACAAGGAAAATGTCATGCCAACTGGGATCAAGCTTTATTTTAAAGTTGAAGGCATGAAATTAGCACCAAGAAGACAATTGTACACCTGTTTTCAAAAGTAAAAAGCATCTCAGATCTACTTCGGTTTTGGGAATTTGGCTGAGGAACATATTTCAGAAGCCCAATAGCTCATAACATTATTCCAAATGTTCTACTCTGTATGCCTAATTAAGCTGCTTCATATTTGCATAAGCATGATGCTTCATGATTAATGTATAAGACACAGCATGAAGCCTTGAATAAATTCACCCACAGATCCTTCTTTCCATTTCTACTGCAAATAACCAGCGTGCCTGGACTGCAGTCTATCATACCTGTAGGCATGGCTTTGTTTCATATATAAAACAGTATAAAATGCATTATGAAATCATACCGAACTGTAAACTTTTTTTATCTAGAAATGTTAGTAACAATAAAATGTTAGCTCTTATAAAGCTACTGGCATTTATATTTTCTGTGATTTAGAAGAGGTTTGTTGGTGGGGTTTTTTCCATGGTAAAATTAAGTATGAACTTTATTCTCAAGATTAAACTCAATTATATTTAAAAAAAAAATCTTGTTATATTAATAACCTAATAATTACTTTTGTACTATAATTCATGGGGTAATGTTAACCTAAAGCAAAGAACTTGCTCCTCAAAAAAGAGCAACATTTTAGTAATTCAATAATGTATCCACTCACAGTCAAAATAAATAGAAAACTCCTGAAAATGTTAACAGAGGTCTGATTAATAAAAGCCAGAGGATTCCACACTAAGGGTGCCTGGAAAATGCAAGTCTAAGCTTTGATGGTTAAGCAGTGGAGATATCTGGAGAGGCTACAAGTTGATACATGTCCTGTTTACTGCAATTCTTTGCACTAACATGAAGTCTGATCTTAAGGGATCTTCCACTCAAGCTTAGTTTGCTTAAATACAATTAAAAATCCACTATTATTATTTAAAGACTTTTTGCTTATGCCACAAAGAACATACACTGACTGTGATTTATTTTCTGATATCAGCACGACCATTGTCACTGTGTTGGCCTAGCAGAAAAGCTATAATGTGCAGTATAACTGGCAGCATCTCAAAGTTGGGCATAGAATCAATCATATTTTATGTAATGGAGAAAAGATTGAAACAAAATTATTTGATGTGCCAAGGAGTGAAAACTCCATGAGCTACCTCCATTTTTTTCAAAATGAAATTTTAATTTTTTTAAAAGAAAAAAATATTCAAATATTTGAGGTTTGGGGTTTTTTTTATTTTTGTTTTTCTGTAGCAGCTGACACCTGAATACTACCATCTCACTAGTGAGCAGTGATTGATGTCAATGATCAGTGGGATTGAAAATATTTTTGAACATTATTTACCTGCTTTTTGATATCAAGAATAAAACCATGGCCATTTTAGGTATCCTACTTAAAGTGAAATAATGTTAAAATTCGCTAAAATTATGTTTACACCATTCTGAATTTAATAAAAATATGTGGCACTGTATTTTTAATATTTTCTACAAAAATAAATTTATGCTTTGAACTAAATGCAGTGTGCCAGGAATTTACATCTCATTCAGGTGAGTGCTGGTCAAAACAATCTATTTTTGGAAGGGATGTATGTGCTAAGTGCAAAACAAGCAGAAGCCAAGATATAAGGCTCTAGAGGAAACTATTCCCCACCCTAAGTAACAAAGTCAGCACAAAACAATTCTATTCTATGATTCTTAAGCAACATAAAGGATCACCTTTGTTGTGTGAACCCCCTGATCTCCATATATCCATACATAATAAAAAAAAACTTCAACATGGCAGAAACATATTGCAAAAAGCTGTTATATTTGTATTTGAAAGTGAGGAGATTTTCCTTTTTGCCAACTTTCACTTTTCCCTTTGGAATTTGTATCTTTTTATCCACTGTGTGCATTAGAATAGTTAAAGAAGTCTAAAGAAATTAAGTTTTCTTTCCAAGTATATGGTAGCATTGCTTTAGGGTTTAAAAATATTCAAATTCGGTCTGAGCAGCTCCTATGAGATCATTCCTGAACTCTTAGGTCTCCCTTTATACAAGTTTATACACTTCACCAATGCCACACAGGCTTTCTGCATTATGTTGTCTCAAGAGGAATTCAATTTATAGCAAACATGATATGATGATTCTATAGATAACATATGGAAAGAAGCTTATTTTTTTATATTCTTATAAAATAAGACATAAAATCATGACATAAAGGGTTACATTATAATACGCTTTTTATTACAATAAACAAGATTTTTGAGGACATGGACATCGACAGGTATAAACATATGGTATATTCAAAGGAAACCTTTTTTGTATTAGATATATTCTAATAAAATATTACATTCAATATTATATAATTTAAAAATATTTCTATACATTTCAATCAATATAAATATATTTAATACCTAGTTGAGCCTTTGGTATGGAAAACATAGACATTTGATAAATTTTCTAGGTTTTATTTGTATACAACCAAGGTAGTTTCAGCAGCAAAGATTCTCACCATTTTCATAGTATTACATACAAAAATGAAGCATCAAAAGAACCAAAAAAAAACCCCCAAAAAATTAAAAAAACTTCCTTAAAACATTCAGTAACAGTTGAATTGTGAGTTGCTTGTCTGTGCACTTATTTTCCTTATTTCACTAATATTATGTCCAAAAATGCTTGGAATACCTAGCACCTATCCAGAATTTTAGGCCCATGTAAATATGTACATATGTATATATGTAACCCTATATACAAGAAAAAGGAGCAAAGAAACTGAAGGTCCTTGTATCAGATATGTGTTCTAACATGATTATATAATTATTCTCTCAGTAAAAAAAAATAAAAAAAAAAAAAATTGCACCCTAGAGGTCAGGATAATAAAAGATCAAATTATGACTTTGACAACTTAGGTACATTGTAGGATATTATATCACAAGGCTCTGCATCATTTGAATGACATTTGGTAATGCCTAGTTAAATATCTGTAAGGGAATAATTTAACAAACTTCTTCCAAAAAAATCAAAAAAACTAAAAGCCCCAGTGATGGAAATGCCATGTAAAAGAGACATTATGCCCAATTTTTTTCTAAGCAATTTAACTCAGAAAGCCTTTCCTTGTGTTTTCCATACCTCTCCCACATGAGCTAGTTGTTTTGTAAGCATGCATTTCTCATCTCTACATTTCTCACAGTGGTAAAAGGAAACAAAGTCAAGTAAAGTCAAAAAAAGTGTTGGTTTTATCTAAAACATATAAAGTTCTGCACATAACCACTTTTTAGCACTAGATGTGGGCCACTATGGCTTAAAATTATGCTTTGACAATACTGTAGAGTCATGGTCAATCTAGTTCTCCACTGTTGGAACTCAGATGCCTTCAGTCAAATTCAAGAATGTGGTTTTTTTCAAGTATCCTGTTCTTCCTGGATAGATGGTGCACTGGGTTAGCATGGCTGTAGTCCACTGGATATGGTCATGAGTCATTAGAGCTGTCAAACAACTGCAACCCACATATTTTAGTGGCAAAATATTTTATAAACAAAATATTTTATAAACAAAAATATTTATAAACAAATGTTTTATAAACAAAACATTTAATAATATCCTATTATTTAGGGTAATTTTTATTTTTCAATTTTTGATTCTCTCTAAGACATAAATCCAAGGAAAATGAAACTATTATGTTTAATTCACAAATTAATCAGCTGTTCTCTGTTTCTATTAGAAGTAATATGTAATATCATTGCATTCAAGCACACATGCACTTTTTTTTTTCTGAGATAAAAACTGATGATCCATATTGTTTTCTGCACATGTTTGATACTCCAGAACAACTGGTTTTCTTTAAAAGAGAAAATATTCTGGTGGTCTTTTGGCCTTCTCTCTTCTTTTCAGAACAGTGTATAGGCCAGTGAGAAACAAAATGCTCTCCTAGAATATGAAGGAAACAGAAATATCAGTAAAACCCATATTATGCAAGAAAGGTTTTTTTAGATGACTTTATGAAATTGAAGTTTCTATGAACTCTTGGTGATCCTATTCTTTCTTTCAACTTGATGAAGAACCATGCCCTCCTCCACCATTAAACACACTTGAAACACACATGAAACAAAACTGAGGCAAGGGGAAAGATTGTACGGCTTTAAATGTCTACTGTTCTTTGCTACTGTTCTTTGTTACTATATCTTCTGAGCCTAGAATTGGAAGGAAGCAATGCAAGGCTTGTTTCTCACTTTCCCACAATTCCTCTGCATTTCAAGATGTTTCCAAAAGACATATACATCTGTTACATCTAAGTGTCACTATAAAACCATGTAGCTCACTTTGCTTTCTGAGGGAGAATCTGGTTACTTGTGTATGAATAAGACCAAACATATTTTTACCTTATGGCATTATATATTGAATATTCAACATCAATATTTTCAGCACAGAGCAAGTCATCATGTTTATTTAGTGATGTCTGAATTCTTTCCAACATGACTTGCTTATTGATAGGCTCAGAGAAAGCTTTCTTTTGAATACGTATAGGATTTATTCCTGAAACAGATGAAATTTAGTTTCCATTTGAATGTACCTGTTGTCAGCAGTCAGGATTTCACAAGAGATCACCAAAGACATCTTAAATGAGAGCACAAAGAGGTTTCAAAGTGCAGTTCCAATACCTGAAAAATCTAGTGTGACTTCAAAATGAGAAGTGTGATTCCAGACCTTGTTGCTAAGGCAGACTGCCATGTGTGGAACAAATTGTACTGCTTTGCCAAAACTGCTTTCATGCTTTCATAAAGTCATCTATAACAATATGGCTAATTATTGATTAATGAGCAATACAATACCACAGCACCTAAAGTCAGGGAAAGGGGTGCAGCCTTCTCACCTATTAATAGTGGAGATTTCCATGCCGTACCTCATGGTTTTCAGAACAAGGGCTGCGAGGCAACCTGATGCTCAGATATTTGAGGAGAAAACGCTCAAGGAAATTGTTCAGTTATGAAGAAAAGAAATGTCTCAACATGCTTCCCAGAAGGTTCAGTCTTTTAAAAGGACTTCACAGGAATGAGAATAACAGTAAATATAACTTTGTTCTTATTTGTATCAATTCATACCTGAACATTCAGATAAGTCTATGAGCAGAATAGATGCTTTCAACTGAAAAGCATTAAGGAGAAAAATTACTAAAAAATAACTAAAAATTAGTAAAATACCATATTTATTGGTGTAAATATGATCATCCTCTGCTTTATCCTATTAAAATATTAGAGGCCTAAGAAAATTCTGCTTTTTTCTATTGACGTATATCTGACAGTTTTCAGTGGTAAAACATGGACACAATTCCTTTACTTTTCTTTTTACAAGCAAAATTGGAGAATTTTTTTAAGATGATAGCAAACAGTTTTAAAACCTCTGAGTCCTTGGTCACATCTTACCTTTTTAAGTTGTCTTGGCACTAGAATGGGTTCTTCTTTGCTGCACTCTACCTAAACTTAAGCACCTTTTCATAGGAAAGGAATGCAAAAACAGGTTAACAACAGCTTAGAGCAGAAATTATTTATGGGTGAAGATAAAACTTTTAAAAAAACTTCCTGTCTGACCATCCAGCTGGCCCTCTGGCGCATTCACTCTCACACAACCTGAGCTGGGACCAAGGCTCCTTCACAGCTGTACCTCCTGCTCTCACACAGTCACACCAGGTTTTCTCACCTGCTCAACCTCAGGTTTCCCATTGCAGTCTCAGACATTCAGATCCTTCAAATAATTTAATCATGGTGCAATAACTGAATAACAAAACTAAACTCGAGCTGGTACTTCCAAAAAGAGACACAGAGCAAAGGAACTCTTGGCCTTTTATACCATCACAGTCTGAGTGAAAATCTGGGGGGCAAGGGATCCTGCCATGTCTGGTCCCTCAGCTGGGCCACAGGTCCCTGTGCTCTTAGCTGTGCAAAGATTTGACAGGACACAGCCTCTTGCCTCAGGCTCTCATCAACCTGCAGCTCACACTGCAGCTTTCAAACCAAGCTACCTGCATTGGGTGTATTCATCAATGAAACTAGATAAAAAGACAGACATCTATTAGGTTCAGAAAATGGTGTTTCAGCAACACCAGTTAAAATTAAGCATTAGTTTTATCCATTTACTGTTAAGGTAGCTAGTCCTATAGAAGTAGGGATATTTTATGCAATGGATGCTGCCTTGTAACATCCAGGTGGGCACATATACTTATGTTCACAACATGAGGCATGAACATAAATTAGAGATTTGTGTACAGCTGCAGGCCTATGATCCTGTTGGGATAACAAAGACATGGTGCCATGAATCCCTTGAGTGGTTGCAATGCAGAGATACAGTCTCTTTAGGAAGGACAGGCTGGGAAGACAGGGTGGAGCAGCTCTTTATATGAGACAGATTATTTGCAGCTCAGCTTGGGGATGGTGTTGAGCCAGTTAAGAACTGATGGGTAAACATCAGAGAGTAGTGGGTGTCTGATACAGGCTGCCTGACCAGAAGGATGAAGTAGATATATACACCCTATATGTAGGAGATAGGAGCATACTCACATTTGCAGACCCTTGTCTATAGTAAAAATGCGGCGGACCATGACTCAGGGAAGAAATGATGATGTCTGGCTCCAAATCTGAAGGCTTAAGGATAGCTTTATTAAAAGTATCCTATATTACATTAATATACCATTTAAAGAGATACTATACTATTCTACATACTTACTTCTTACTTACCTATCTAACAAACTCGTGACTCTCTGCTGAGAGTCTGAGACACAGCTGGATCCGATTGGTCATTGAACCCAAACAACCTTCACTAGAATCCAATCAAGCAATCACTTCAGGTAAATAATCTCCATACCACATTCCACATGGGGAAAACAAAGGAGCAGAGATAAAGATTGTTTTCTCTTCTTCTCTCTGTACTTCTGAGAGACAGAATTATGTCTCTCTGTCCAGAGAATGTGAATGTCACACCTTGCCCTCATAGGGGTCTTCAACAAATTTGTTATTTGGCAAAGGGAAGACACAGGGTATTTTGGGTTATGGACTGGTATGGGTTAATAACTCGAAATACTCCCCACTTGTGGAGGTCCCAGGATGCTTTGTGGAAGCCAGGTTTGGAAGTGGAGGAGGGGAGCTTTTGGGTGTGTAATGGCTAACCTGTGATCTGGTAAGACACAGGGTGAATGATTGGCTATGAGTGAGATAAGAGACAAATCCTATGGGGATAGGGTGGTGCCTCTTGTTAGGCAAAACTTCCTCCCTTACACAAACCACTGGGCTGTAAAACTCCCATCCTCCCATCCCCCAGGGAAGGTCTGATGGGGCATTCCTAGCCCAGCTGTGCTGACATGAGAGGAGAAAACTGCCACGTCTCAGAAGATGTCATAAACCATCAAAGACCCCTGAAGAGCCTCCAGGCTCAGATATGAGTCCTTCCACCAGACAACTGAAAGCTCCCCCACAGGGGAGTTACCTGAGCACCCCCACCTAACTCGGGTACATCATAGCCCATCAGACTTTGTTTCAATAAGGTTTTCAAGACTATTTCTTCTAAGATCCTCATGAAGAAGCTAATGAAGTCTGGATGGACAGACAGTGAGCTGGATTGAAAATTGGCCAAATGGCCAGGCTCAGGGGGTAGTGATAAGTGTCCTGAAATCTTATTGGAGGCCAAAAACTTGGAGTTTACCTCAGGAGTCAATTCTGAGTCAAATTCTGATTAGTATTTTCATTAGCAATCTGCACAATGGGGCAGCATGTACCCTCTGCAAGTTTGCCAATAACACAAAATTAGGAGGAGTGGCTGAGACCTCAGAGGGTCATGCTGCCATCCAGAAGGAGTTTCCAGTCTGGAAAAATGGGCTGAGAGGCCCATTATATCATTCAGAATTCAACAAGGAGCAAGTGCAAAGTCTTGCACAAACAATTGAGTCAAGTTTCCCTGGATCTGAACCACCAAGAAGTTCTGTTCACTCTGCTTCTGAAGTCTAAAGTTTATTTGAGTCAAATAGAAACACTATACATGTGAAAAAACTTGTATTAAATTATGTATTTGAATGAATATTAAGATTTAATGATACAAATATTAAATGCAAAATTATGTGTGGTAAAAAAGTGCTGTGTCAGTATACTGGCATGATCAAATTTTATAAGACAGCTACAAGCATTTCTTTCAAGTTCATCAAAGTCTTATAATATTCTTGTTATACTTGAAAGGGCTATATGAAACTGATAGATGGCTTTTTAAAAGAAAAAAAGACAAAATACTCTATATGAAAAACAACTCTGCTTGAAACTTTAGTAGAATGCAGATTTTAATATTACGAGTAAATGAGGTGATAATGCAATCTGAGAATGTTAGGATTACTCAAATGATTTATAAAATGCACCAAAATCCATTTTGTTTGGCATGGTCATTAAGAGATCATACACATTAGAAAGTGGAGGACTTTATTCTGCACACCAGTCTGCGAGCATGGAACATATCATAGGAATGACCATGATGATGTAAAGAATGCTGTTAGCTTTCTCTCCTGACTCCGAAATGGCTAACAGTAGACATTTGGTGGAGGAGGTTAATCAAGGATAAGTTTGTTTCTGTAAAATACCCAGGATTTTGTGATACCAGTTTCTACTGGAACATCTCATTACTTTTGAATCCTTATGATACAGCATTTACAACAGTCTGTACATCAGATTTCTACAGTTTAGTTGAGCATTATATGAACTGTACCTTTCATTTTTCCTGGGCTGGTTCCTGATGATTTTGTCCGATGCCCTTAGTGTGCTCAGCAAGAAACACTGAGTAATCATTGGCAGCTCCCATCTGGCTAAAGATCAGAGACATTCCATCACAGAGTAATCACTGAGCAATGCAGGGACAAACTAAATGCCTCTCCCTTGCTTATTTTGCTGAGAAACTTATAAAAATCTTGAAGGCCATCAGTTTATGAGTTAGAAAGCAAAGAACCTTCATGTTCTGCAGTTTAACTTGGTTAACCTTCATATTAATTACTTGTGAAGGAAAGCTAAGGGCAGAGATATCTATGCTTATCTCTATGCATGTGTTTTAAGTGCCATTTCTTTACAGCATCAATTAACACATGGTGTGGAGGCTACTAAAAGGAAATAGCTATATGTGAGTATACATATGATTGTGACCAGCTCTCTCTGTTGAAAAAGAATAAATTAAAATTAACTATTTGCAAAAAGGCATTGATGCTACCAGATGTTTTATAAAGATCAAAAATGATCTAGAAGTAATACTCTAGGGCAGAGGGTACAATGTACAAGAGTTTTAAAGAATTCTGGATGAAAAGTATTTTCTGTAGTGTGTACCTCAAACTGCCAAAGACTCATAGAACTTAGTTTATTATCTTACTGACTCTGGGTTCTCATCTATATGTTTCTTTCAAGTGCTTTCTTGGGGTAAAAATCCCCCACATTATTTTTACATAAATCAATCAGCCCCTTATAATCCTGACACAATTATATCTTATGTACTGTGCAACAAACAGTAGACTCTGCTGCTTTTTTAAAGGATTAAAATGCTTTGTTATTCAGAATATGAGCCGCAATGTGAAAGGAATTGAAAGCAGGTATAGGATTTAAAAAATTAAAACATCAATACAATTAGGAACATTAAATGTTCTTGAATTCTAAGGAATTCAATGATTCTGTCTTTTGCAGCCCTCTCCTTTTCATTAATTAATTTTTCCTCAATGAAAAACCTACTTCTTACTTCAAAACCTACTGCTAACTTTCTTCTAACACAAATCTCACCTATTTCAACAGTCATACCTCCCTCTTCTTTGCCCTTTGCTTTCTAACTCAATTCCCTTCTTTCAGCTGTGTTGCCTGACTCTGAATGCTTGGAGAGACTGCTGGGACAGATTTGTATGTTGTTGCACATGAATAGATTCCACTTTCACTGTGTCCATTACTTGTTACTGCACTTCACCACCATTTTCATTTGTAGTCCTTTTCCATCAATTCTCATAATGCAGTTCCTCTTCTTGAATGTCAAGCACAATTACTTTACTTTTCAACGATTACTATTTTTGTAAAAGTATAACATGGCAGTTGCAAATGGCAATGACAATAGAGACCATATGGATATGATTTTAGAGAAATAATAGGAATACCATGACATAGTGTAAGGAACAATTCCTACCTCACAATATCCACGTGCAAATGTCTTACCACAACATAATACAATGGAATTCTAATGGCAGGTGATTTAATGATGCTCATATCAACTCTGACTAATTTGTAACCAAAGATTTGGGAATTTAACTGCAACATGTTTAAGTCATGCTGCTACCTCTTCTGCCAGTTTATATCACCAAGGAGATACAATATGTGAGATGTCTTTACTTTCTCTAAGCTGGGCCAATTTGAGGAACAGTGTTAATTGTAAAAACTGGCAAAAAACTTTAGTAACACTTCATTATTTAATGAAGAACAGAATGTAACCTAGGAGCAGTTTATCTGTTAATATACTCCTTTTGACATTGCTACTACCAGAGTAGTTCACTAAAAGCATTGATAGCTTACAGTGATTTGAAGTGTCAGAACAATCCTGTGGAATTTTTATAATGAAAAAATTTGTCTGTTAAAATTTCAATTTTACCACAACATTCAAATTTGGTTTAGGTAATTTTAATCATAATATTTCTTCCTGGGGCAAGTAGATCTCATTCTTGACATTTACATTTGCAAAATAAAATCAAAAACTCTTTCAATATTTGTTTGCCCCTGTGTTATTCCCTAAGGAAGCATGTAACAGCATTTGTAAGGATGGCACATAGAGCTTTTTTACAGACAGGAATCACAGATTTAATTATATCTCCTATAAAATAATTCAGTTTCCCTTCTGAATGCATGACTAAAGCTCCTAGGGCAGATTATACTATGATTTAGCTTACCCTACATTTGGAGTTCATAGTGCATATGGAATTATAATAAATCCCTGTGGTATTCAGGTTTGCATCAAACTGAGAAAAAAAGCAAGCATCCAACAGTATCTTGATGAATTAAAAGAAAACACTGTAACAGCAATAGTCACATCCATGAATCCTCCTTCCTACCACACCACCCCCAAGCAGATCCCTGATGGAATGGTGACAGTAACTAAGACTGAGCTGCTGGAGAGCTGGATATCCCAGACAAACAGTGATTAGTCCTGTGCACCTCAGAGCATGAGCACACAGCATCCTTCTGTCCAGGGTATCCCAGACAGTTGGCCCACAGTTATTTAATTGCAGTATGTTAGCAGGAATGATTACAAAAACTAAAATTAGAATGTTGCTTAAAGAAAAGTTTTTTAAGCTTCCAGTGCAAGAATAATTCGATGCTTTGCCATGTCATTCTAATTCAGGATGAAAATAATAGTTGGAATAATTAATTTCCTTTGGGAAAAAAAACACCTCTGCCCCCTATTACCTGTATTATACTTACTTTATTTAAGGGTCATGAAAAAAAATCATAGATCAAATGTCCTTAATTATGAAAAATCCCCCAAAGCCTCTTTTTCTAGGAAAGTAGAATTTTTGCAGTTCTTGCAGAACTGAGTAAGCAATATGCAGTAGGACAGAATGCTTCCAGTTTTGTATGACATTTAGATACAGTGAAAATAAGATAGAAAGGGGAGGTGAAGGAAAATTGTCCAGCTGATCTATTTAAAACTGACCAGGGATTTAAAAACAGATTTCTAACATCATTAAAGGTAAAATTGACAGGCTGCAGTGAGGATTGCACATTGGCTTCACCTCTGGCACATATTTGTCCCCTATCTGTGACTGTTTCTTTAAGAATCAGGATTAGGTCATCCTGGTGCAGCAGCTCCAAGAAAATAATTTCTAATGATCCTCTCTGGGCAGCTGGCAAGTCTCACATACAGACTAAAGGTATGAACCCTGGGGTAACCTGGCTTACCTAGGTAAGCTTCACCACCAGCAGACTCAGATACCACCTTGAAGATGTCAGGATCATCTTAGTTTAGTAATGGGGTCACCCACATAATATAAATAACTTATGTGTTTACTCTATTTTTTTTTTCTTTTTATTGATGCAGATTACAGAATCACAGAATATTCTGGGTTGGAAGTGACCCATAAGGATCATCAAGTTCAACTGTTAAAGGAATCAAACTCAGAACTTTGCTGTTATTAGCACCAAACAACTAAACAACTGAACTAATCTCAGGGTAAGATAAGGTCATATAAAATGTTTATAACTAAGAGTTGTAATATAATCTACAATAGAATAAAATAGAATCTGACTTTTAAAAATCTTGGGTTAAGATTTTTACCATGTGGTTCTTTACTTGTTCTGTATTACATAGAATTTTCTTACTGTTGTATAAAAATATTTTGGCAACAGCCTGAGAGAAAAATAAACAGAGCAATCTGAAATGAGATATGTGTTCAATCAAAAAGAAAGCAAAGCACCACAAATCATACAGACATAGAAAACAATAACTAGAGTAGAAAGAAGGAATGTTAAAATAAAGAGCATGATCATATTGTGTAAAATCCTGTCAAGACACATCTCTAAAAAAAAGGAGATCAATTGAATTTTTCCTAAATAGTAAAATCTGAAAAATTACCAGAAGAATATTTAAGAGTTGAACAGAGAAATATTTAGTAGGGAAAATATGAAAATATGAAGACCATAATATATTTGTGCAAGTTAATGCTGACAAAAAAAAAAAAAAATGTACCTATCATAACAGTCCAGTAAATAACCTAGTTAGAACTTTCTTACCCTTCACTCAGGCTCAGCATGTATGTTTCCTGACAGAGGGGAGAGAGATCTGAAAATCGTAAACATGTGAAGTAAGCATAACTTGTAATGTGCTTCCCAGAGCCAGCAGGAAGAGACAGAAAGAATAATAACTTCCACAAGTTTTGGTTTTTTTTCTGATGCCAGTGCTTAGAACACATTGAGTCATCATCAGCTGCGGAGCTTTCACTGAGTTTGATTGGATATTTTCATACATTTTGAATGCTATCCCAAGGCCAGATTTGCAATCTTCATTCAATTGACTGTCCCGTACAATCCAGGCCCTGCTCCTGTGCACCATATGTATCTTTATTTTGCCTGGTGCCTTAATCTGCAAGGTGCCACAGATGTACTCATGTGGTCATTTGGCAGCTGGAACATGAAGTACTTTCTGACCAGCTATTTTAAATGTTTGTATCAATTGCAAAGCAAAATAAATAATGATTAAAAAAGGCAAATAATATTCATTTTATTGCCCAGTGAAGGCAAAGTTGGGACAATAGCAGAGCAGCTGTTTGGCATACTTTCTGGGATTTAGAATCCCTAACAGAGACCTAAGCGCTTGTGTGTCCATTTGTGAGAATCGGCTTGGATGTTGGTGCCAGAGCTTTATAGCTGCCAGCATTTCTATGCTCTTTATGCTGGGAAGTGTCAACTTGCCTATACATGCTAGATAAGCAAAGGTTGTGAGCACTTTTAGGGGAATTACCAGGGAAAAAAGCATTTCCATTTATTCACTGTTAGCACCAAAAAGCAACAAGGAGTGAAATATAACCACTGCCACAAGCATGAGAAGGATGGCATCCCGGGAAAGGCATTAGGTAACCAGTAAAAAACTTATTTCCAGTCTGATGCCTCTTACATTATAAGATACTTTTCTGAGAAAATCCATGAAAAAAAATTTAAGTGTCTTTCTTTTGTATCTGTAATTAGCTCTTCAGAGGAAAATTTCTCCCTCCACCTAATAAATGGTCATGGTAAAAATATAATATATTAAATAGATTATAATATATATAAAACATATTTATTAGCTATATATTTTGACAACCCATTTTTAGAAGAGGTTAAATCTGATTGCAGATGGGTGAAGCTTATGTTAAGATACTTGTGAATATTCCATAATTAAAGTGGTTTATTTTTAGAATGAAGTCCCTGATATGACCCCTACAGTTCTGTTTTCATTATGGCATGCAAAAGAAATAGGAATTTGTCTACCTTGAAGTAAATCTTCCTCTGTGACTGCATTTTGATTCCTTCTTATCTGGTAGTATTGATGAGTATATTGACAACTGTCACTCCTCTTCCCACTATTTCAGTCTGTGCCTGGTCTATATGCATTATTGTCTCACAATTCCACTTGTGGAGAGGTACCATGACTTTAGACTGGTAGAAAAAGCTTTTAATTTCATATTTTAATTGAAAGTATATAGTACCATAGTACATAGTTGAATATTAAAGACAATTATATGATATAGATATTAGTGTCATTAGGAAAAAAAAGATAGAGAGAGAGAAGTGATAGCAAGACTTCAGTCCAAATAGATCCACAGAATACAGAAGACATATTATTGCAAAAGTAATGGACTGTGCCACAAATTAGGAAGAAGCAAATATAAGTTTTAAATGTAAAAATACGCATATTCTTATGTGGTAAAAGCGGTACTTGTGAGTGGAGGGTTTTAAGTGCATTTCTCACAAAAATGCCAAAATACATGATGGTATGGGATACCACCTAAAAGTAACAGCTAATCACTTTCTGACTGTTCGAGGGTGTTTTACTCTCTTTTGATAGGAAGTATGTCATCATGGCTGAATGGTAAGTGGGCTAATTAATTGCAGGAGCAGTTTAGTAGTACTTTTTCTGTGTTTTTATGCAGTGAATAACTCTAAATACTAAACTTAAGTCAGCAAGACAGCTTCAATTGTGTCATGCATTAATTATGATCTGCATAATATCCATCAAAGAGAAATGTCTGACCTATCGAAAGGAAAAGCCTAGAGCATACTTTGTGTCTCTCTTTCTCACTTTATCTGTTTACTTCCCTTTCTCCCTATTCTGCTGACAGGGAACTTTCATTCCTTTCTGGTAAATTAACCTATTTGCCCCCTGCCTGGGATCCTACCTCACTAAAGGCCTGGGAGACATTTCCTGATAGCACAGTTCAGTTGACTTGATTGTCTGTATTCTAGAACACTTCACCTGCATGTTTATGCTGCATGTTCCTCAAGGTACCAGTACTCCATGTCTGGTCAGGCAAACCTGGAGTTTCTTCTTATTTCCTAGTCATAGGAATAATCAACATAATTAATAATAATAATAGGTATCATACATATTTAAGCAGAATTCATTAGTATTTCTTGACTTCTCACTAAATTTGTCACTTGTGTGTGAAATTTTTTTTCTGGTTGAAATAACTTGAGTGAGTTTGCCAATGATACTAAATAGAAGAAGCTGTGGACACCATTGAGAGCAGAGCTCTGTATATCATCAACAATATGAAATTTAGCATGAACAGGCACCATGGGACAGGATAATCCAGGTCATATACACTGGGGAATAAAAGGCTGGAGAGCAGCCCTGCAGAAACTGATCTATGGGTCTGGGGTGGTGATAAATTTAATCTGAGTCATCTGTGCCTTGGTGGCCAGGACAGCCAGCTGTGTCCTGGGGTGCATCAGGCACAGCATCACCAGCCAGGAAAGGGAAGGGAATGTTCTCTTCTGCTCTGCACTGATGTGGCAGCATCTCAATTACTGTGTGCAGTTTTGGGTGCCTCAATATAAGAAAACAAAAAAATATTTGAGTGCGTCCAGAAGACTTTCAAGGGGTGGCTGAGGGTAGTTTGTTTATCTTGGAGAAGGGAAGGCTGAGGGGTGATCTCAAGGAAGTCTACAACTTCCTCAAGGTGGGCAGCAGTGGAGGTGGAGGCAGTCTTTCTCTCCTGCCTCTGGAGACCAGTGATAGGACACAGGGAAATAAAATTAAATTCTGTCAATAGAAATTCAGACTAAATATTAGAAAAAAGTTCGTCACTGAGAGATGGTCAGTCACTGGCTCCACAAGGAATGGGCTCCCCAAAGAAGGGGAGGTCTCACAAATATTGTAAGAGTTCAAGGAGCATCTGGAGGATGCTCTTAGTCACATGGTCCCTTCAAACAAGAAATATTCTGTGAATCTATGATGCTATGAATTAAGAAAAGGGAACTTTTAAAAAAGGCAAGTCAAATTAAGAATTTAGGAGGCAGTCATATTTTTTCTTGTGGAATTTGCTTATTAGATTAAAGAATTTATTGTGATTTGAGGCCAAAGTCCTTCATAGAACATGCATTTGGACAATTTTTGTTTTGATTGGTCATAGGATTCAAATTCTTTTAATGTCATTAACTGATTAAACCAGTGATTGGCTCTGTTTTGAAACCATAGACAAATAAATGAATGAAGAATTCTTATATATTGGAGATTTTCTCAGCTATTAATTGCTTTGCTTCACTGCATGTTTTTAGGAACATTATAAACATTTTCAGAACCCAAATGTCTTTTAAAAGTAATAATATTTATGTATTACAACATATAGGGGCATGCTTAACATCTCCTCAACAAAAAATATACCAATCATTTGCCTTAAAAACTCTTTTGTTGGTTTTAGGCAACTGTTCCACCCAAAGCTAGAAGTTGTGTCCAGCATCTGGATTAGAGTTCGTCTCTATCCTGTGTCTTTCAGTGCCTTTAGAGGTCATTCAGCCACTGTTGTCAGTCGTCCAATCCACCACTTCCACAGCATCTTCCTGTTTAATTTCCAGCACTCCCATGGCCTATTTATTCTCTCTACTGTGTGTGAATGGAAACAAGGCAGATTCCCTGAAGACTGTACTGGACATTAAGGAAACACAATAAGAACAAAGTAAGAGGGATTCAGGAGCTGTGGCATAAGTGCTAAGTAGCTTAGGGCTTAAGAGCTCTCAAAGCCCAGTTCTCTCTCTTAGAGGCCTTTGGCCTGTTACCAAGTCTGAAGGACAATTGTGATGCATTCTTTGATTTGGCATTTTAAAGAGAAATGCAGTCATGCATTCCTGTTTATGATATAAACATGTAAACTTCCTGGGTAATTGGAAAATACAGCATGCTCTGGATAGGTGACTACTATAGATTACGATCCTGGACCATGTGATTAATGTGAATGTGCTTAATATGAATTAATGACCACAGAACCCATTCTGTTGACTTTCACTAAGGTTGCACTGCATTACATGAAAATCCAACGTAAGAACCCACTATTAGTTTAGATACTACTAAAACATCTTAGTCCTATATATATATATATAAAAAATATTAGTATATTTGTCAGTATATATCTTAAAAAGTTCATGTGGCAAAGCAGAAATTAAGAAATATGTCAGAAACAAAATTAATATGAAGAACGATTTAATACCAGATTTGTTTTTCTTTCCATTACAAATTTGAATAAATGAATGTCGTGGTTTGACACAGAAAAAGAATTTTCTCAGAAGGAAGAGGTCAATTTGGACATTGACCAATTGAAGGTGGACACACCTCTGAGAACACAGAGGGGTTGAAAGCAGAATTCCCAGGAGAACTCGCTCTCTTTGGTTCCAGTCAGGATGCAGTGCAGGACTCTCCCCTGCCTGGTGACGAGCTCGGTGGGGGAGGGGAAAAGCCATGTGGCCTTTGGAGGTAGGCCCAAGGGTGGAGGGACTGGAACCGGGCTGGCCCCCTGCAGATGGAAGGGTGGAGAAAATCTGGGATGTCTCCATTCCCCCCCCCCACCCCCAGAGTCTGTCTCTCAAGAGAGAAAGAGACAGCGACAGTTTTGCCAGCAGTTCACTGCGGGGAAGGAGAAGAGCGGAGGGGCCGCAAGGTGCCCAGCTGCCTGTGGGAGCTGGAGCCTGGGCAGTGAGCCATCCTTGGGAGTCAGGACTTTTAACCCTTCCTGAGAAATTAAAGCTTTGTGAAATTTTTCTCCTCCTCGGTTTGAAAGAGAGGAAGAGAGACAGCTTGGACCCTGGGATGTTAGAAGGAGAAATTCTAGGTGGGAGGAGATGATGGAATGGCTTTTTGGCTGGACTTTTTCTTGGTAGCCACAGACAGAACCGATCTTCTCCTCCAAAAGAGACTGTATTTTAGGAGGATGCCGGTGAGCCAAAGAGACCATGCTTCAGCTGGGAAAAGACAGAAGTGGAGCGAACAGAGAAAAGTTAAGGGAGTTTGTGGTGGTGCCCCCTGTCTTCAGAGAAGAAGAGAAGAACATCTCTGTTCTTGCATCCTCGGCCCCAGGGGAAAATGGGGGGGACTGTGGTCCCAAAAATGAAAAACTGAACTGTTGTTTTTTTCCCCTCTTGGCAGGGCATCCTTGAAAGGAAAAATCCTAAAAGCAACCTGTCCATCCATGCATTGGTGGCGAGAGCACTGTGCATGGAAAGGAGAGAGTCACCATTGGCAAACATTTTTCTCCGGGTGGTGCCATGTGTGACATGGAACCACAGGATGTGGCAGCTGTGTTTCTTAGGGGGTCTGTGGCACAGGAGGGGCTCCTCTCTCCCTCAATGGACTGAGAATCAATTGTCTGGAGGGTGGAAACCTGATTGGGGTCCAGGGTGTGTCTCACTGTGGTTTGTTGGAGTTGGGTGGTGGGAGGAGGAATGCTTTGGAAGGTTTTCATTTTGAATTTTGTGTGTGTTTATTTTTCCTTCCTTTTTCCTTTTATAGTAGTATAGTAGTAGTAGCTTAATAAATTTTTTTCCCTTGTTATTAAGCTTGGGCCTGCTTTGCTCTGTTCTCGATCACATTTCACAGCATTTGGTTGGGAGATTGCATTTTCATGGGGGCACTGGCATTATGCCAGTGTCAAACCATGACAATGAAGTAAAACAAGAGGGAGAAGAAAGAAAAAGTATGAGTAAGAAAAAGTAGGCCAAGAAAAATTACAAATATTCCAATTATTGTTGTTAGTAGTGTCATTAACTACCCACCCCAGGCATGGAATTTTATTATGTTTCCTTATCTCACTACAAGTAATTGTCTCCACCCAGGAAAACTGGTTTTGTTTTCTAAATTATGTAACCAAAAATTGTCATCTATTGTTTTCTTTCTGCAAAGATATATAGGCAATATGTACAACAATTTATTCTTTACAAATTGTATTCTATTACCTCAAATTCAATTTTAAAACTCAATAAGAGGTTTCCTGTATAATATGTTATTTTAAAGACCTTCAACAGACATGATTAAAGGATAAACTATGCTATAACACTTGGTAGCAATTTGGCATTTATTCTGATGGGTAATTTCTTTCTATTTAGTGGTCAGTTATACAGGCCCATGTAGAGTTTCCACAAGAATAACAAAATTAAAGAAGGAACATAAAAGCAAATATACCAATGAGGAATTATTTAGATCCAAAAATTTACATCTCCTAATTTTAAAAACATTTGTTACATAAGCAAGGCTTTGGAATACTTTGAGAGGTTTTTTTTTTTTTTCATGTCACAATAAAAGCAGAACTAGAACTGAGACCTTTGAATGTACTTTGAGCTTTAAGTATTTAAGAAAGTAAACACCTTTACTAGCATGTGCATTAGTTATCCCATTAAATAGCTACAGACATTTTTCTTTTTAAAAACACTGTAGCACTTGCAAAGAAAATAATCAAGATCGGAGGTGGCATTTTGCACTCTGCTTTCTCACTGAGGTGTTATATGACCTCTGGAGAGTAATATACTTAACTTTCCTGAACCTCTGCTTACTTTTCATCACACTGAAAACTATAATAATTTTAGTTATATTAAAATCTCTGCAACAACTGGACTTAATCCCATGAAATTAATTTAATGAAATTATTCTCCTGCTTGAAGATAAATATATACTAAAAGCATATGAGGATTGAGGCATATGAAAGTTGTAGGGTCATGCCATAAAGAAATGTGAATATTCCATAGAAAGTTTGTACAGATAGACGTTAAAAGTAATCACTCTGAAGTACGAATTTGTCATCCATCAAAAATTAATGTTTCAGAAGGAACAGCTCTGAGTGGATTCAGCTCAATTTTGGGAGGCAAAGCACCTTGAGCATTTAGGCACCACTAAACTTTCATATGCCATATGCATAACTCTAAGCTTCCCTAGAAATTATGACCTAAATATATATCACTGAATGTTTTACAACATAAAACATTCACGTCTGCCTATGCATACCTATATAATTTAATTGCAACTTATCATTGGTGTAATTTTCATGTTCTGAAATCAAAGAAGTGTACATATCCCCAAGTAGAGAGAGAAAAAAAAAAAAAAAAAAAAAAGCCTGATTGGTTCAACACTCCTACCCAGGCTTTGACAATTTTTAACAACTGTGTTTTAATCACATTTTGTCAGAGCAGATTGACTATTCAAAAGTTTCTGAAAGTCACTAACTTTTTTTTTTCTAGTTGCTCTGCCAAAATAACCATGCCACATTTCAAAACTTCGATGTTTCATTTTAAGGTTTTTGCTGAATTGGGCTATAAATGAGAGAATTTTTAAAAATAGTTTTTGCACTCATCACAAGACTCAATTTCTAGTGCTTCTGAGATTTTCAAGCCCTTGCTGTCTCAGAAAAAAAAAAAAGTTAACACTTGCAAAATATTTTTCACATGTGAATATCCATCATAAGCTCAACATATGTAGTTTTTTGCAAAGATGTGGAAACATAGAAACTAAGCACTGGGTACCATAGTTTTTGTTCTGATCCAGTAAGGTTCCCTTCATGATTTTTAGATGAATCTAACAACATACAGATGGCTCAAGTAAGAGGTTCATAAAACTGCAGTTATTCTCTGTGGGACTCAGATTCAGTCAAAGAAAGAAACTGAGAGTTTCTAGCCAGGCAAAAAGCTTGGGAAAGAGCTGGAGAAGAATGTAAATAATTCTTCATCTCTCTTGTTTTTCACATTGTTTATAGTTAAATTCTATCACTGTGTGTCAAGCACTTTGCACCAATACTGTGGGTTGCTTTCACTTCAGAACCAATGGAGTTGGTCCTCATGAAGCTCTGTATAAAAGAACAGTGTATTTTTAATAAATCAGAGTCTTACTCTCACAGCCTTCTGAGTCGAGTCTATTCATTCCCGTCCTGCCTCGACAGCGACAATTCTCCTTCAAAATAATCAGTTTGGTCCTTTTCTTTTTTTTCTTTTTCTCTTTCTTTCTTTCCTTCTTGACCCTGATTCTGAAATACATTGCCATTTTGGATAAGGAGCACAAAAGTAAAAAATGAAGCATTTAATTGGATGGGCAGACTTAGAATTACGGTACTGATATGTTTAGTTAATTTAACTAACTTAGCTAACCTGAATACTGATTTAACATATTTTGTAAATCAGAACCTTTTTTTACTTGGCAAGGAGAGCACACAGTTAAAATACAGTTCCAAAGCAGGGAGTTAACTACATTTTAATGGGATTATTCACTGCTACTTGCCAATATGAGTAAGATTTTCACAAACTGATCCTCTGCAAATAAAACATGTCTGGGAACTTGGTGGAAAAATGTGTTCACAGATAATCTCATCAACCATATGCACATACATGGAAATAACAGGGGTTTAGGAGATTTTTTTATCTTTTTTTTTTTTTTTTTTTTTTTAGTATGCAATCTTTCACTAGACAGCAAAAGCCACTAGGTGGCATTTGTGATTTATTAGGCTGGAAGTGCTGGTTTAAATATTGCATCTAATCCTTGGTTTCAAGAAAACAAGACATCTAAGACGCCAAATAATTTAATTCAAGGACCTCCCTCCATAATTAGATAAATGCATAGAATTTGCACTTCTGCTACATCATTTGGATACCGATTTTCTGAAGTTTCCTTTCAACCCCTAGACATTCTCAGGCATGTATTCCCTGACCCCACAGCACCAGCTTACATAAGTAATTACTTGTCTACAATTAAGCTGTAAATAATGCAATCATTCCATTCTTGTCCTGTCACTCTAGTCCCAACTGCAGCAAATAGGACTAATCACATACTTACTCAAGTGTGTAATTATTTACAGTTAAACTTCTGTCACTTTCACCCTGTTTGGAAACAGTAGAACACAACCTGTAATTAGCAAATGTTGCTGCAGGCACTTTTACTTGGAAATAAGCCATGGATTCAGCACCTATGTGAGCAAAGAGGTAAACCCTTTGATCCAGGATTCTGGCATGGATCCTTCCCCTTGAGGTATTCTATTATCAGCCCCCAATAAAGCAGAGAGATCAATGAATTATTATGTCAAATAAGTCTCTAGAAAATCACTTGTCTCCTCTTTGTCAGAGGAG